ATTTTTAGAGATTTAGATAAGCTTTTTTCCTATATTTTAGGGCATGAGGATTGCTCATTCCGAAAAGGAGTTTCTGGACCAACTAGAATCAGCAAGGAGAGAAGCAAAGAAGTCTTTTAATGATGATGCAATGCTGATTGAAAAATTTGTAGATAATCCAAGGTAAGAAATAGATGTTTCTATTATGTAATAATAATAAAAGCTATAATGTTTATTCTACTGTTAAATAAACAGAACTAGCTTAGTTGTAGGACTAAAATTGCTTTTGTATGTCTGATTTGCACTATGAAAGTTGTTAATTTGGTCAAAATTGTTTTTAATTTGCTGGATTTCTTGTAGTGGCTTTATTTTGAATTACAGGAATGAAAATGCTACTGCTTGGGAGACATGACAGTGAGTGAGCTTTCTAAAATTGATTTACATCTAGGAAAAAAAATCACTCTATAATATTTAAACAATAGACTTTAGTCAAGCTGTGATGGTGTTTCTGCTGCCCTCAGGTGTCCTAAACCAGTTATTTAATCTTCCTCTATTTTGATATTTCAAACAGAAGTGAGAGTTTTTATCTCATGCCTGTCCTGTGAAACTGAACCAATGTGTTTTTATAAAGAGTATCTCACAGAGGTCTGTTTGATAGTCTTGTACTCTTCATCTGTTTTTCCTTGTAGCATCACTGTAGGGAAAGCCTTTTTTCCAAAGAAATTGAGGGTCTGTTTATACTGTCAGGTGGGCATGACCTATTGCTGGGGAATTTCTTTTGCCAGGATCAGGGGATTATCAGAATGGTGATGTATTTTTATTAGTTTTATGCATAGAAAAAGATTCTGCCACCTAATAATTGTCCTTTGAAACGGTGTTTTGAAGTGAACAATGATTCCTGATTCCTGTCTCTTGTGAATTGCTGCAGATTAAATTATGAGGGAAATAATCATTATCAAATTATTAGTGGTTTTACTTCCATTATAATAACAACTAAGAAAGAGGTAGTTGCCTTCACATACGTTTCTTGTTTATCCTACAATCGATGAGATTTTACTACAGTAGTTGGTATTAGGAATCCTCTTTCATTCAGAGGATTGAGTAAGTCTAAAACAGTTTAAATCCTGCATAATAACAGCTTCATGTCTACATTTTTGGCATTTATTTAAGGGCAGACACTTAAACTTATAAGGAATCCTACTGAAAGGTACAAGTTTGAAGTCTGTTTGGGGCATTAAAATACATTAAAACATTTACTTTTGTGGAACAGGCATGTTGAAGTTCAGGTATTTGGTGACCAGCATGGCAATGCAGTGTATTTGTTTGAAAGAGACTGCAGTGTGCAAAGGAGACATCAGAAAATCATCGAAGAGGCACCAGGGGTGAGCAGAAAATTGTTAATTTTTTTTGTGAACTGATACGTTGTTATGGTAATTGCTGTGCCCCACTAAATGTAGTGGGTAATAATTTATTTGTAATTCTCAGACCTGTTTTAGTTTTGCTGCAGAAGACGTTCTAATTGTAAAAAAAACCTACATTCTTTAGGGAAATGATTCTCAAAGAAGTATTGTGTAGATTTCAATTATAACATAGATCAGGGTTTCACTACAGTTGTTAAATGCTCTTAAATATTCATGCATACAAGGTTGACTATCACCAAACTTAACAACTGTTTGTAATCTTTTTATTATTATTATTATTGTTATTACTTACAGCCAGGAATTAGTCCAGAGGTTCGAAGGAGACTTGGAGAAGCTGCTGTCAAAGCAGCTAAAGCAGTGAATTATGTGGGAGCAGGTAAGTCTAGGGAGGTGTAACTTTTAACTTAGAGACTTTTAAGTCTCAAGCAAATGGCATCTGGTTGTTTTCGAGTATGACACACATCCCTCAAATTTTTGAGGTTTAAGCAAGTAATCATGTAGTTAATTCTAATATAATTATAGATTTAAATTAGCATACCTGTGCTCAAGACCAGTGGCAGCTGAAGGATAGAAAGTAAAAAATTCAGAGCAGGTAATTTGATCAACTCAACTGTTGTTGGAAAGTGAGTATTATGAATTAAGTTTGAGCTGAGTGAGGGGAAAATAATTTCTCTTTTAGTATACAAAGGGTAATACTTTATATGCAAACAGTAAAGTCTTTAAAAGAAAAACACAACTTGCTGTAAAGTCCACACCATTTCCCAGATGAAAAATAACCTCCTAAAATTATTTGTAACTTTGTTTTCTCACTGCTTTCTTTCAATATTTTGAAAAAATTACATACCCTATGAATATTCCAAATACTTTCAAAGGGTCTTGATGTGCTTTTTAAAGTGCTAATGAAATGCAGCTCCTACTGTAGAGAATGCCTACTAAACAGCACAGGTTATGTAAATGTACAAGGAAACAACCCTTGTTTTCAGGCCTCAGTTTTGTGACCCTTCTAGATT